TTCTATTTATCTTTTAAGTTCTTTGATTAGTATATTACATATAGTTCAGTTTCGATAGGGATATTGTATACAATACAACAATATAATAGGAAAAACAATTCAGATCTTATATGCTAGGAGATTGAAGAGTGGATGGTATATTACGGTTCTTAGCTTGAAAGCTAGTTCTATTTTCGAGGCAATTGGCCTTAAATTTCAGGGAATAATTTGATTTTCTATATAAGGGCGTATAGTCTTTTTTGGGATGGACTAGATAACAGAGTGAATACTATAGCTCTCTCTAGTATGGTTTTTAGCTTTCTAGCATCTTAAATAGCTTCAATCTTTTATAGGAAATACAATCAAGCTTTTCACCCTCTTCAATACGTATTTAGCCTCTTTTCTGTCTTCTTTGTATAGTTTAGAAAAAGTAGTCAATTCCCACCCACCTTCTTATATATCTTGTGGAGTGCTATGTAGAGCCTCTCTTTTCTTTTCTCCATCAGAGGTGCTATGTTTTAGTGACTTATCTGTGGTATTTACGAAGGACTACTCTATGACCCTACCACCTTCTACTCTTTTACAATAATAGATTATACAATTGTATAATCGTATAATCGTATAGTTATAAAATGTAGATATTTAATTAGTTTATAAAATTATTTAATATAAGTAAAAGAATAAATAAAAATATTCTTTAGAATATCTATAAAAAATTAAGATTAAAATAAGTTTTGTGAAAGAGCGGAAATTATAACTATTTATACAATTTCCCGATAGTAACTAAAAATTGTTAATATTATCTCTTACTTCAAAAGCTTAGGGTTAGGGTCAGTGTGTCACGGTGTGGATACACGTGACCGATTAGTGGGTAAGCTAGACCCGATTGGGCTAGCTTACATATGAAAATTCTGTATATCTTCACTCTGGAAGATCCTGTATCGTAGCTCTTCGAGCTACGTCTTAGTCTACACCCTGTACCTACTGTTATTAGTACTGTTTGTTATATATTTCTTGACTCCGCCTGCCGCCCCGTGATACAGTGCCGTTGATTCTTTTGGTCGGAAACCCCGTTCTAACTTGGTACTCTGCCATCTAGTCGTGTTCTGTTTTCTGCTCATGTAATGAAGAAAGCATTCAGCCCCCCGGTCTATCATTACTTTTTTATTAAAATCATAAAGCTTCGTTTTTGTAATTGAACAACTTTCAAAGCAAGATATTCTCGAGTCAATAAAGAATAAACTACTAAAATTCCGTAGTATTCAAATTTCTGTTTTGGCTCACTTCTAAGCGCCTATGTATCAATATAACCTATTAGCTAACCAATCAAACAACGACCCTGTTCGTAGTGGGGGTGTTCAGAATGCAACCCTACCAAATGCACGGCAATCTCAGCTAGAACACGACTTCCAGCACTTTCACATCATGAACATTATTCATCTCTCCACTCGTCATTATGCTTGATCCTCTAACCTCGATCTCGCTCGCAAGTGCCATTGTCCAATTTATCGATTTTGGGTCAAAGCTGGTGGCGGATGGCCGTGAGATCTATGAGAATGGCACATTAACCTACCATCAAGAACTGGATCTGATTACTAAAGATCTCCAAACCCTTACTGAAGAAATAGAGTTGCGTTTAGTGCCCGCGACAACGATCTTGGCAGATGAATTAGCTTTGCGAGAACTAGCCATCAAGGCCAAAGAGCTAGCAGACCAACTACTCACTGTTTTGGACACAGTGAAGTCTACAGACGGCCAAAGTGTACTTCAAAGTTTCCGGCTGGCACTTCGCAACGCAAGAAAAAAAGGGAAGATTCAAGACACCGAGAAAAGATTGAATAAATTGCGAAAGCAAATCGATACTCGTATGATTACAATATTAAGGTAGGGCATACATATATCGCACACATCTTTTGAGACTACTGCTGATAAGTCATATAAGCCACAAGCAATTAGGCGTTTTTGGGGCCGTGACGAATGTGTTAGAAGAGATCAGACGAAATGACATGAATATTGATAACAGAATCGAGAGGCTACGAACAGACTTATTAACATCGTTGGAAACAAAACTCTATGCTGGAACGAATGACACGATTCCAAAGCAATGCGATAAACTTGTCTCCGAAGCACAACGGGTCACGACTTCATACGAAGTGCTGCGAAGTTTACATTTCAAAACTATTAAAGATCGCGAAGCTAGAATTAAAAGTGCACACAACCATACTTTCGATTGGATATATGATGATTCCGATACCGTTACAGGGCACCAGACGCAGTTCCAAGATTGGCTACAAAATGGAAACGGAATATACTGGATCTCTGGAAAAGCAGGGTGTGGAAAATCAACACTCATGAAGTATTTGTGCAGCGATGCGCGCACGAAAGACCATTTGAAGATCTGGACTGGGACCTCAAATATCTTCATCGCTAGTTACTTTTTCTGGAGTAGTGGGAACAAAATGCAGAAATCACAGCTAGGTCTTTTGCAATCGTTATTATATCAGATAATCAATCAATATCCCGAAATCATCTCCAGAGTTTGTCCCTCTCGCTGGACTATGGTTAGAAAACATGAGGACGAATCTGATCCGTGGGATTTACCAGAGCTCTCGGAAACATTCGACCGTATCGTAACAGAAGAGCATGCTTGGTCGACGCGCTTTTGCTTTTTTGTGGATGGTCTGGATGAATATGACACACAATATGGAGAATATACGGATCTTATCAAAATTCTTCGAAGCCTAGCTACATCCTCTGTTATTAAATTGTGTGTTTCTAGTCGACCTTGGAATGTGTTTCTTGAAGCCTTCGATGATGGTGATATACCGAAGCTTGTTGTACAGGAATATACCAAGCCAGACATCGAGCTCTACGTCAAGAATAGGTTGGAAGACGATGTTCGATTTGTTCGCCTATCGAAAAAAGACAATCAGTATCAGCAACTTGTGCAAGGAATTGTGGAAAAAGCAAATGGTGTTTTTCTCTGGGTGTATCTTGTTGTCAACTCACTCCTGAGGGGGTTCACAGACGACAATGACATATCAACCTTGCGTGGCCGACTCGAGCATTTGCCTGCGGACCTTGGGGATTATTTTCGACAGATGCTTGAAACCATCGAAGATGTGTATCGCGTACAAACTGCCCAAATATTCCAGATTGCTGTTGTATCATCATACCCTTTACCTCTTCTATTGTTTAATTTTCTGGCTCAAGTTACAAACGCCCCACACTCCAGAATCAACAACAAAACGCAGATTCAGAGATTTACTTCACAAGATATTATTACTGTGACAGAGAAGATGAAGACATATATCAATGCCCGATGCAAAGACCTTCTTGAGATATATGTAGATATCGATCCTGAGGAAGCGAGTTGCCTACGAAACAAAGTTGGGTTCCTACACCGCACAGCCAAAGATTTTCTTATGACGAAGGATATACAAGAAGTGCTAGAATCCCGGCTTCCATCAAAATTTGATGCAAGAATTACTTTGTGTAATCTCTATCTCCGGCAACTGGAGTCGCTCCCTTTAAAGGAAGATCATGGAAGTTGGCTACTGACAAGAATATCCACCATGACACGAGAACTTGTGTACTACCTTTTTGAAGCTGAAAGAATCAATGGCGTAGCCGAAGTACTTTTATTAGACGAGCTTCATCAAACACTTTCTACCCGCGCCCAGGAACTGCATAGGTTGCCCGGGGCTGCGTTCAAAAATCATATTTTAGCACATTACAACACTACGACGTTTGCCAAATTAATCATCGAAGGACAATTGGTCTTGTATCTCGAACATCTGGTTAGCAGAGAAACATGGCTACTTGGCTCCGAACCTCTTCTCAATTACACATTGCTCAATTTTGGAAAAGTGCCCCCACAACGCTTGCACTACGAGGCTGATTTGACGGTCGCCATGGTTCGCATACTCTTGGACAGGGGAGTAAAACCCGACGAGGCAACTTGGTGGGAGTTCTTGGTCTCGTTTGACAAGATTTCCAGACCTGCGTATCGCGAAAACCTCGACGAAGTATTTGACATTTCCAAAATGCTTCTGGAACACGGCGCGGACCCAGATTACGAATTCGACATGCAAAAAGGAGAGTGCACAAGGTACGCGAGAGGAAAAGGCGGGAGACGCCGCAAAGTTACAGAACTCCAATGGGTGGGCAAGGTTGCATCCGAGATACTCATGAATGGGTTTAGCAAAACACCGCACCTAGAAACGCAAATCATAGAAGTTATTCACAAGAGCAGACTCAAACGTTCGAGCTCAAGGTGGTCTCTTTGGCGACTACTTACTCTGAGATAGAATCAGCCGATGCCGTTTGTATTGACGGTAGCATCATCTTCCTCATGAAAAGAATTATTGACTTGCAATAAATGGCATGTCCGTCGGCACTCAGATATCTCGGTCTAGCGGAGGATCTTCAGACTGCATTTCTTATTTTCTTACAAAGTTTATCTTTGAATGTTTCTAAATTTCACATAAGAATTATTTTGGGGGTCAGTACTAGTGCGCTTACCTCGCGCGCGATATTATCTGTAAATTCAGCAAATACTCCCTCGAGACGCTAGCCCGTGGAATTTATCAAGCGCTGATAGGCACCACCCATCTGGTCAGATTTCCAATACGATTTTATCGAGAAAAAAACCAAAGTCGAGCTGAACCAAAAACATCAAAATGCACAACACAAATCAAACCCCTTCAACACTTCAAACTTTCAAAGCTCAAGGTTTTACAACAACTTCATATTCGTATTCAAGCACACTTGCCAAATATAAATAGCAAACTATTTGCGTACTTATATACTGTAGTGATGATGCCATTACTCCAGAAAAAAGTGTATAGCAATAATTTCTTGAGCGTTTCTGCTCTTCAACATTATCATCATCCGTGCATCATTTTTCCCTCATTTCCAACCACAAACTTTCATAAACCCATTCTTCACCCCACTCAACCACAAAATACCACCATCCCCCCGCTCCCCTCCCCCTTACAAAACCCAACCCCAACAATATCTCACACCCCATCACCCTTCCCAAGCAACACCAAATTAGCCACATTCATCGCCGCCATAATTGTCCAAATAACTCCTGCCACCGCCGCCGTAATCCAATGGTTTCTCATTTTCGTTCCCTCGCCCGTTTCGACCCCCAACCCCGCGCCTTCATGCTCATACACACTTTCCGTCTCCAACGTTGCATCTCCATTTCCCCTCACATTCTCATCATCATTTCCGAACGCGGCTCGTCTCCCCTGACATCTCACCGTCATATATCTATTACGACACGTGAAATAGATAAGCGGTGCCGTAACAAATGGAAGAACAATACTAAGAGCTACTTGACTAGCGTTCAAAGCAGCTGATAGACCTTCACGACCAACAGCTCCGGCAATGATAATACTAGGTGTGATACTCAGACTTCTCGTTATAAGACGTCGTAACCATGGTCTGATAGTCCAATTTAATGCACCTTCTGAAACCATTTGTCCGGCGATGGTACAAACAATGCCAGCACTCGTACCCGATAATAATAGAGCGAGAGCAAAAATGGTTCCAGCACCTTTCGAAATACTCGACACGAGTAAATCATAAATACCGAAAAGATCAGCCTCTGGAGCCGCAGGGTTATTATAGAGGGCTGATCCGGCTACGATGAGAATCGCGGAATTGACAAAGAGGGCGAAAGTGAAGAGACAAATTGCTAGCTCGGCGTAGGAGTATTTGAGACAGAATTTGATGGCGGGAAGAGAGGGGTAGTATGGTTCCTTGGTACCCAGATCAAAATCTTTTTTGACAATATTATTGTCCTTGTCATAAGCGAGGAGTCGTGGTTGGACAATGCCACTTCCTAGATAGAGACTGTGAGGCATGACAGTTGCTCCTAAAATACCACATGCTTGGTAGAGTCTAATGTGCGTTAGGAGAAATTCAGATGAGTGGAATAACAAGCACTTACCCCTTTTGTTCTACAATTGCTTTGGAAGGCAAGTATCCCTTGAAAACCTCCCCTACTGAAGTATCTTTGATGAGGGACAATTGAATGCAAAAGCAAACAACAACACCCAATACCAATGCCGCCACAAATATTTCAAAATATCTCAATCTCTTCATTTCACCATTTCCAGGATAAAATACAAGAAGAATCAAAACATCGAGAATCGACAAAGCACAACCAGCAACCAAGGGTATCTGAGGTATCAGAAGATTGATAGCAATAGCTGTACCAATCACCTCTGCAATATCTGTAGCGATAATCTATCATTGGTCAGTCAAATTGAAGATGCAAAAGGGGAGAAATCTCATACTGCACCCTCAGCCAAAATATACAAGGCATAATTCATCCATTTTGGCAAGAAAGCTCTACAGGCCTCCGCCAAATTCAATCCACTAACAGTACCCAACTTGATACAAAGACTTTGCAAAAAGATGGCAAAGATATTTGACATCAACACAATAAACAACAACTTAAATCGATAAGTTGCACCTGCAGCCACATCCGTCGCATAATTTCCCGGATCAATATATGCCACCGCAACCTACAACAATCCATTAATATAAATGAAGTCCAATTTTTGACATTGTGATTTCAATTTTGACATTGGTGGAGAGGTGGCAAATTACGTACCATGAAGCCCGGACCCACGAATTTTGCAAATTTGACCATGACCTGCTTCATTTTCACGAGTTGTTCTCTCGAGACATGGAGACAATTTCTTCCATAGCCTGCTCCCCTTCTACCTCTCGATTGATCTCGGATATCGAGAGTTTCAACAGAAGGTTCAACCACGTGACCACTCTTCCCGTCTCCACCGCCTCTCCCTCCATCCCCACCACCCCTATCACCCCCAGCCCCCCCTCCAACACCCTTCGCACTCCCCGTCGCCTTCCCATCTCCAGTATCCTCTACCAGATCATGAATTGACTCTACGCCTTCATCCTCCAAACTTCTCCTCAATGCTCTTCCGTTTGCTCGACCGTTCAAATCCTCTCGGGTGGTGAGATCATTTGCCAAGGCGTTTGGATTCTGATTATATCCATCACCTTCCAACGGCTCATCTGTTCTCGAAGGACAATTCATGATGATTCGTTTTGACTTTTGAATGTCTTATGTAGTGCTACTATATCGATGAGACGAATCTCAAATAGTAGTATAGGTAAAGAAGCGATATGCCTTTCCCTTCTTCGTTAAAAAACGTCGCTAGGGATATGCGTCACCTTGTTGTATGTTTTGAGTTTCGTATTCTGTGGGTAAAGAATGGAAGGTCTCGCAAGTCCGGATTCAGGAGTTGCGTTTGTCGTAAGCCAGCCTCAGTTGGATTTAATTTATGATCAATCAATGAAAACAATCAATCAATCAATCAATCAAATCAAATCAAATTAGCACAAACAAACTTTATTCAGTCCCATCCGAGGAAAATAATAAGATGTCAAGATAGGTATGTGAAATATAAAGTCCAACTTTCACTCATAAATACAAAGTTCAAAGTTCAAATTTGTCCGAGTAAAATAGATGTGAATATGAAAGTAAATGTAGAATCCAAATCGACATCCAAAGAAATCCGGGGAAAGAAAGATCTGAGAAAGTGCATGTAGGTACGCATCTAACTATATACCTACCGACAGAATGGCATCCATGATCTATCCACTCTCCTCTTTCCCTGTTCACCACTTTACCATTTCTCCCCATAAAAATCCGAGTTTCCATTCATCTGATTGGTTCCCATGTCGTGAAAATTCAGGCCCAACAAGGTACAAGACGATACCGAGTTCCTCCCCAATTCTAGAAGGGCTACGACTTTTCCCGATCGTGCAGGTGGTCGTTGATGGCTTGTTTTCGGAATGTGATGTTATGCCAGTTTTGGGGTGGGCAGGTATATACTTTATCGATAATACTTGGTAAGGAGAGGGCATTCGACTCCTCATAAGTATATCTAGTAAAAGTATCCAATATCTAGTACGCAGGTACTCTTACATATAAAAACAGTACTGGGTCACAATCCATACATAGACGCATTTCTATCCTCTCTCTTTTCTACAACATTCAAAAGATACCTACCTATATCAATATCACTATCAATCCCATCCAAGACAATAAATGCAATACAAGAAATAGGTAGGTAGGTATCCACGGATGCGATTGAGCGCATCAATCTACAACTTTATTAAATGAAAACGGATCTCTCAAGTACCTACTTAGGTAGGTAGATAGGTAATCACACATGTCAAAAATCCATGATGATTATCACGCCGCTATTTCTACCTCCATCTCCATCTCCATCTCATTACTTATCACTTCTCACTAGACAATAAGGATGATCTCATTTATTCATTCATCCATCCATTCATCCATTCATCTACCAAGTATCTACCCATCATCCATTTCCATCACTAGCTACCCAAACCACCTACTACTCTGCACCACCATACTTACTACGAAAATCCCCGACTGCTAAAATCACCCACTACTAGCCCATCCGCCTATCCATCCATCGTCCCAAAAAGGCAATCCACTACTTCCTAGTATCCTCAACCCCTCCTAAGCTCCCAAGCAAAAGCAAAAGCAGAAGTAAAAGCAAAATCTCCAAGTACGATGTAGATTCAATTAGTCACGCAGTCACTTATAACCACCCAGTCTCGAGCCAGTGGTCCTCCCTCATCACGTTACATTACATTACATCACATCTTCTCCACATCCCCTCCACCTCCAGCAAACAACCAGACAAACGCCAAAACAAACACCAAAACACACACACTCTCTCTCTCTCTCTCTCTCCCCCCCCCCCCTCTCTCCCCCTCCAATACCCGAACCCCAACCAGCCCGGCACAACTCTTCCCCGCAGCCCAAACGAACTACCTACCTACTACCTACCTCCAACTACCCACCTAAATAATCTCAACACACACCCACCCATCATAATTACGACTCTATCATCTACCATATCGCGGGGAAACATCCAATTCCAACTATCTACACTCGAGCTATCTACACTCGAGCTACCTACACTCGAGCTACCTACCTATTATCTTCGAAATATAATGTTTTACTAGTGGGTGGGTGGGGGCTTTATTATCTACTTCCTCTTGTCTTGCTTTATTTGTTAATCTACATTTGATACATTTGTTATATTTATTTCTGCACACAGCACAGCACAGCACAGCCTAGACTGCGGGGTAAGGTAGGGTAGAGAAGAGTAGAGAAGTTAACCACCTACCACCTACCTACCTACCACCTAACTAACTACAAAGTATTTATTCTTATTCATCTAGAGCTACCTATCCAGACATTTTAGATTTACTTCGATACATATCAGATACCTACGCCTGTAAATTGATCATGAGGGATTTATCAGATAGTGCTGTCATCAATCACTGCCATCATTCCATCCATCCACCCAAGAGAACAAGATAACATAATGATACATACTAGATACTAGAATACTTGGTTTGATATATGACTTATTGCTACCTAATTGCCTATCGCATCGCATCGCACTGCATCAAAAGATAATATCTTGGATCGAAACGGTCTCGGTTCACAAATCAAACCCAATGGTCAGACGAAATATGCAAAGTCTCTCGCCCCCACACAACCATATAGTATGTAAATCATTTCAGAGAATTCCCCAATGAGATTGAAGAAGCGTGCTCATCCTCCCTTTTGAGGAGACACTGAAAAAAAAAACGCCTGGTGATCCATGCAACGCCATGCAAAAACATTATTCTGCAATTGCCCTAACCATGAAACCCGTATTTCTTTCTCTCTCTCCCTTTCTCACTTACGCATTCCGATCATCATCCACTTGAGCGTATGCCTTTTGTAGTGCCTTTTTCTCCCTACCATCATCCTCGAGAACCATGATCCAATCTCGGAGCTGGATATTCCGTCCCTTACCACCATCTTCTCGCCAAGTGCCCAACCTTCGCACTCCATCGGTAGTCATTTTTTCAGGTCCCGGATTCGCAACGGGGCTTGCACCAGAAGAGCCAAGACCTTGGGTCATGATTTTACCTGGCGTGCTTGTACCACTACCGGATCCTCCGGCAGTCATCCAACTATATTGTTTCTTCTTTCCGAACATACTTTTTCCACCACCCAAAAATTGTGTAGTGGTTACATTGGCTGCTGCGTGACTTGCTGCCTCACTGGTTTTTGCCTCTGCTTTCTTCTTCATTTCTTTCTTGGTAGGTGGCTTGTCAAGAACATCTGGAGCCATAGAACCTGGCGTGCCCGGATTTATTGAACCAGCGCGAGATCCATCACCAGACTCACGAGCCTTACGTCTTCGTAGTCTCGCCTCCTCGGCTTCTTGCTCCTTAGTAGCACATTTCCGAAGTGTCAATGCAACATCATTCGCAAAAGACTTAGTTTGTGCCTTTGCACTATCTGATACTGGGGTAGGCAATCTACCTGCAGCTGAGAGAGGGCCTTCGGTGTGTTAGCTCAGAATTAGAATAATGAAAAATACGATACATACGTTTGAGGGGGTTGGAGAGAGGGCTGACAGCACTCTCCCATCCACTCCGTGGACCACCTTCAGTAACAATGGTAGCAACACTATGTTTTATCGCTGGGACAGCAACATCTGTCCATTCATCCCTGATTTGGGCATGAGAACTTGTCTGTCGACCGATAGCTAACTTTAATCCGTCCTCTAATAATCCACGAAGTCGATGCTTGGTAGAGATAGACATAAGCGCAAGTTGATCAACAAGTAAAGAATCAGATGGAATGAAGGCTCCTGTCGTTGCAGTGATAGCTCCATCTGGTCCCACGGCAGTTTGTACTTTGACAGTCGTGTCAGGGAAATGTTCAGGTAGTTTCATAGTTCCCATCTTTCCATTTAAATCTGTATTCAAACCGAGACCATTATCATGTGCAATTTTCTCCATTCTCTTATGAACATGGCCAACATTTAAAAATGGATTATTTAATTCTCTTTGCCTCGATACTGCCAAGTCGCGAGCCGCATCATGCCATGCTTTATCCGCAGCTTTCTTCTCAAAATCCTCTTGTGATTTAGCATTTGGTGCCTCTCCAGGTTGATTGGCCGGACCTGAGCCGTAAAAAGATCCCTCATTCCCTGGTGGAAATTGGGTAAAACTGTGACCTGCCGAAATATTTCCTGGGTGTGACCTTGAGCCTTGAGCATTGAACGACGACGAATACTGCTGAAATGTATATTGTTCCTCCTCTGCAAGATCGACACCAGTTCCCCCTAAAACATCCAACGGATCCAAACCATCAACCTTATTTTTATCGACCGGTCTCGAAGGTGGGCCCATGACTCCGCCAGGATGGTGCTGTTGTGGCATTTGCAAATTAAAGTTGTTGAAATGAGCTGACGCTATGTTTCCTTGATGATGATGCTGAACTTGATTTGGGAAGCTCAATGGGCTTGGTTGCGCATGAGGTGGAAGAGCCATCGGAGTTTGCGGTAGATTTAATGAGGGAGATGGTTGCGCATTCGATCCATTCGAATATGGCGTGGTGTAGGCACCCTGAGGAATTTGCACAGTCGAGAAATGCGGCGAAGGCGAAGCTGAATTCTGACCAGAAGCAGCATATGGTGATGTGACATATGGCGAACCTGGTTGAGAGGGCGGATTGGGAGACATTCTTTGTCGCTTGTGGGGTGGAAACGCGAACTGTTGTTGGGTTTGCGTTGAAGGTGAATTAGCTGGCTGAGGGGGAGAAAAGGGCCTCTGAGGCATAGGATACGGTGGTTGCTGTTGCTGTGGTTGCGCCATGATGTCGACGGCTTGGTTGTAATTGCCTCTATTGATCTCCTGTATCCTTCACAACCCAGGCGCAAAGCCCGGCTACCTCTTATAACACCGACCCATGCGCTAGTCTAAATCTTCAGAATACAACGTAAAGACTTGCGCGACCGTATTCACTCGTTGTTTTGATGACCGTTTAAGCTGTTTTCTTTCCCGCGTTAATACTGTGGTCATTGAATGAATCGCGAAAGCTATCTGGTTTTGATCTCATCACGTGTGGATTTAGTGCGAAATTTCCCTCCACAAGGAACGCCAAAATCGCGTCTCTTTGATGACGAACCTCCCTTCCCTCTTACA